TATTGCTTAACCTTCTCTGTTTCTTATGATGACTCTGACTGTGTCATTTTTGCATTTTGTGAAGCACCTAAAATAGTGCTTTATACTTTATAAGCCATAGTATATTTACATTTAATTGGGTAGTTTGGGGTGGGGAAAAGTAGTCCCCCGAATTGGCTTTACTTTGTTACTGTCTTTGTCCATTTGGGCTGCTATAACAAAATACCACAGACTAGGTAGCTGATAAACAACAGAAATATATTTCTCACAGTTCTAGACACTGGGAGTCTGAGATCAGGGTGTCAGCATGGTCATATGAAGGCTTTGTTTCTGGTCACAGAGTTCTAGTTGTATTCTCATGTGGCAGAAGGGTTCTGTGGGACTTAGAAGAGCAGTAATCCCATTCATGAGGACACCCCCCTCGTAACCTAATCACTTCCCAAGACCCTACCTTTTAACACATCACATTGGGTGTTAGGATTCTAACGTGAATTTGGGAAGGACACTAACATTTAGACTATAGTAGTTACTGCTCCTTTCTGACATTTACTTTTATTTTTCCCTACATTTCATGTTCTTCTGATATAGCCACACTCTTTTTCCTTATGATTTTTCTAAATCAAAAAAACTTGATCACTAAACTATCACTCTTTAGCTTTACTGAACAATAGATGAATTGGTGTTTTGGCAAGCTTTGTTTATATAGAGTCTTTGATTACAATCTAGGTATACAGTGTGTTGTAGGGGTGGGATTCCTCTCCTTCCTCCCAAATTTTTTTTTAGGATTACCTCCTGCAAGGAAATCTGAGTTCTGCATGTGCTACAGAGCACTAGCTTTCATTTGTGAGTGCATGGTTAAAGAAGGAGTGCTAAATTGGCAAATTCCATTCTATGTTTGGGGCCTAGGAGGAAATGGGAGAGTCTGAGCTTGAATTCATGTGGCTTGTTCACAGGTGTGAGAGTGCAAAATTCTCAAAAAATTACTGGCTGAGTTTCAAGGTAATTGGGACTCCTGGGGCCAGCAGTATTAGAAGACACAGAAGAGGAACAATGGCTGTTGTTGGGTGAAAAAACTGCCTTAGTTAGATTCCTGATCTCTTCCTCTAGCTACACGGCCACATTCCTGGCGGATTATATGCTTAATTGTCAAACCTAAAGGTAAAAGAAGAATATTAGAGGTACAACATTCCTACCATCTCTGAGAGATCTTTCCTGATGGAGAGAAAGCCATTATGTGACTCTCCTGGTCACTTTCCATTTTGTCATTCACTTTGCCCTAGGGAGGTGGGGTGGCTTATCTGACTGATAAATGAGAAAAATAACGAGACATGTCTCACTTGGTTTGGTCTTTCTTCTTTGTGGATGTGAGCTATCTACAGAAAGCATATATTCTCTTTTTGAGCAGGTCTCTCTTTGCCTAGTGTTGCCTGTACCTAGAAAGATAATTCTGTTTAATTCTGAGGTTCAGTTGACCACCACAAGCCTGTTTCCTCTTTATTGGCCTTTATTGCTATTAAAGGGAGTACTTTGATCTCTATTTGCTGCTTCTGTCTTATTTCTCAGTTTCTCTAGAGTTTGGAATGGGAAGAGAGATGCTGTTATTCAGTTGCCTCAGGGAACTAACATTGTGAATATGATGGTTATTTTCTAAAGTGTTCAACCATTCCATGTACATGTGTGTTAGTTACATTTAATAATAACACGTAAGGTTCTAACTTCTGCTTTCTGTATCAGCCTTGTCACATCAGCTGGGGTTCAGATGACCTTGAGGGTGACAATGAATACCATTATTTTTATGAATCCCCACAATACTGAGCTGATGATGCGACGTGATCCCTGCTCTTTCAAAGCTGTCACTTAAAATTGAACTTGAAGTCAGCAAATTCTCCTCCAACAAAAAGGGTTTATTTGGGGAAAAGAGAGAAAAAGGAGAGACTTGAAATTGAGAATATGCAGCCATGGCAAGTCATGTGCAAGTTCACCAGAACAAAGAAGAGGAGAATTTTTCATAGAGGGGGAAGGGAAGTTAGGACTGTTGTTACAAAGAGTTCTTCCTGCAGAATGTACGAGCTCCACCAAAGGCCCTCCAACTTCCAATCTTGGTTGAAGTCTCGGTTAATTCTTTTACACACTGTTAGAAGTTTTGGCTTGAATTCTTGCAGAACTGAGAAGGGAAGTAGGGCCCAGAGATGCCATTGCATGTGTGATTTGTTGTCTCCTTGAGCTTTAGAGAGACACATAAGATATTTCACTTGCATGGCAAAATTGAAGAAGAGAAGGCAAAACAGGCATGAGGGTAGAGAGTCATGAACTTTTCTTGCAACTATTGAATTCAGAAGTAAAAGGAGAAGGAATCCTGGATAATTTGGCAAGATGCTCTCTTTTTGTCGCCGTATACTGAATCATGCTCTGAAGCTCTTGAGTAGAATGATGCTGCTATTGCTACTGTTGGTATTTGGAGATGAGGCTATTGTTTATTCACTAAGGGCTTACAGAGCACCAGATATATGTTGAATGCTCAGTAGGCATCATCTCATTTAATCATGGTCACAACAGGCCCTGACAACGATAGCTGCGTCTGAGGTGGGTAATATTATTCCCATTTTACACATGATGAACCCGGAGCTCAGAGAGGTTAAGTAGCTTCTTAGGCCATGCTGCTAGAATTAGAAAATGACCTGGCTCATTGAGTCAATGAATCATTTCGCAGGTACTCAGCCATTGTTCCTACTTGTAAGCAACAGAAGCCAACCCCGGTGGATTTTAAAAGAAGGATTTATTAAAGGGATCCTGGATTGCTTTCGGAAATGCCAAGAGATGGAGAGCCAAGCATGGAAGCTTCACAGCAGGAACGACGGTCAGAATATGGCTGCTCTGCTGCTATTGCCTTTGCTGTGTCCTAGACACTTTGGCTTGAGATGTTTATTCAGTGGGGCTGGATGCTGGATGCTGCTTGCAAGCACCACCTCCTCCTCTATCTTGCTGCAGCCATCACTGTCCCCAGAGGGTCCATAGTCCCTGCTTCTTGGCATCACTCCCTCTGCATTCGAAGCCCAGCCAGATGTCTCTGATGAATGGAGAGTGAGTGCATGGGCTGCTCTGGAGCTGCTAGGGTGGCAAGGGACACATTTCCTGCACATACATCTTCTCTCCTGGGTGGCAGACTTTGTTCCCCAGACTCATGATGAGGAATCCCCAGATGTGGTAAAGATGTTCAAATGCTGGGCAGCCAAAGGAACGACAAATGATCATCTATCCGTCTGCTATATGAATGACACTGCTTGATGTGGTGGGAATGCAAAGGTGAATCAGACCCAGAACCTGTCCTTAGAGACCTGATCGGCTTATAATTCTTTTCCTTTTGATGTTTACATTTATGTGGCATCATAGTTTGTAAAGCCCTTTCACTCTCATTGTTTCATCAGATCCTTCCTGATAGCCACATAAGGTAGGCGGAACTGATACTATCTTTATAACTGAAGACATTAAGAAATTAGGTAATGCACCCAAGGTCTCCCCACTGGTGAGCGACAGAGATAGGACATGGACCTGTCCCCTGACTCCAGACCCAGTGCTTAGTCAACCGGAAGGAATGCACATACCCAAACACCATGCTTTGTGGATTCCAAGGCTCATGGTTTCCCCTCACATTTTAACTTTTGAAATTAGGATGCATCATACAAACAGTAGTATACCATAGTTTAATTGGCAGGTTTTTTATTCCTAGTGGCATGTAAAATAGTGGAGCATCTGCAAATGATGATGTTCTAGATTCACTGGAACTTCACCGGGATAGAAAGTGATAAGGGACATAAAGAAGAGCTGGGAGATCCCAGAAGGCTTTATGGAGATGCTGTACAGGCCCACCATCCCATAGTCCCTTATCTGCAATTCTAAATACCTGAAAACAAAGTTGGGTTTTTTTTCCCCCAAGTTTGGCACCAATACTCATTAGGCAGCAAAACCTGGCCTTGAACTGATGTGAAGTACTTTATTTATTTTTATTTTTTAAAAGTTTATTGACTTTGAGAGAGAAAGAGAGAGAAAGAGAGGGAGAGACATTGATTTGTTGTTCCACATATTTATGCGTTCATTGCTTGATTTTTGTATGTGTTCTGACTGGGGATCAAACCCACAACCTTGGTGCACTGGGATGGGGCTCTAATAAAATGAGCTACCTGGCCAGGGTTGATATGAAGTAATGTATTTACACATAGTTTATGAATATAATATAGAATTATAACTTTAATTATAATTTTATAATTATAATTATAATTTTAATTATTGTACTCACTGTGAAGATCAACCTGTGTAGCTGCAGAAATGTTAATGTTTGACAATGGTGTGTTATCACAGCTCCTCAAGGGAGGGAGAGGAAGAGAAGTTACCTAATATTAGATGCATGTACTGCACTGTCTTTCTAAAAATCTTAAGATTCTGAATTTTGAATATATTTGTACTCAGTGGTTATAGATAAGAAACTCTGGATTGTATCTGAACTGGGGCTTGATTGGTGAACAGAATTTAGATGTTTGGAGATATGGAGGGGATTTTAGGAAGAGGTAAAAGCATCATCCCTTACCAGCTTGGGTCTTTGTATGTCATTATGTCATTATCCAACCATTAAACATGCTTTAAAGGCGGAGAAGGCCTGCATTACTGATAACTACTTTCCCTTAATTCATGATGCATATACAACTGGAGGGCTGGACTTTCTGGGTTTGGCTCTCCCCCTACACCATTAATCCCCTCCTTTTCCCACAAATCAGCTGACTTTCCAGAAAACCCTAACACACCCCTTGGCTGAAAAAGAGCATTAGGCAATCGGTGAAATTCCCCATTCCCTGTTTCTCTCTCTGTAACCCTGGATAGAGGAATCTCAGGCCTGAGAGAAGTATGCAGTTCTTGTTTCAAAAGCAGAGGGAGCTCCAAGATCAAGGCTGAGTTACCTTTTCCCTATGCCATGGTCTCCCAGCCCCCTCTTGTTTAGATCAGGGAATTTCAGACATGCACACTGGAGTAGAGAATCATATGAACAGAACCAGACAGGGAGGCCGGCCGAGGTTCCTGCAGAGGGAGCGTCCAGGCCCCGTGCTTCTCTCCCTGGGAGCTGGCAGGGTCGCCCAGCATGCCCGCTGGCAAGAGAGGGGACTGACCCACTTGCTCCCATCAGCTTCTGAAGGTAAAACCTTAAAAACGAAGAGCAGAGCTTTGATGGAGGACAAAAGAAAGGCAGAAAACTTCACATATGAAGGTTTTGGGCAAAGATGGAGGGCTGGAGAGAGCAGAATAAAAGAAGGCAAACTATAGATAACCTGTTTCTCTTAGGATGACCTCATTTACCCTCACATCACCCCACTGCCTAGCACTGTTTTCAGGGTTTGCATTTGGCAAAACTTTTCTAGGAACTGTGGGAAGAGATCTTGTCTTTTTAGTAAAGGGGAAAAGAAAAAATCTGGAAAATTAATGTGTAAATTGAGAAAATACCTATTTTTTCCTTTTATGTTTCTTGTAATTCAGCTGCCCCTTTCCTCCCCTCCCATCTAACCCTGTCTCAGACCACTTCTCCCAAGGTCACTGCCTTACTCCAGTGAAAGAAGCTCTTGCTCCATCAGTGGTCATCGGGCGTATCAGTAGAAATGCACGCAATAATGAACGTAGTAAGGAGAGCTGGCTTGAAGTGATAGGGGGATAACTGTCAAAAGAGGAGGGAGAAAAATGTCCTAGGTGAATGGTCATGATAGAGAAAGGCTCCTGGAAATGTGAGTGTAAATGGGGATATTAGACTGTGGGGACAGGAGGGAGACTGACAGAGTGAGGGATCAGGGTGAGGGGGGGAACAGAGGAGGAAGAAAATTGGGAGAAAGTATTCATTCTTTTGGAGAAAAACTGGGATGAGGTTCAGAGAATCGATGGGAGAAGGATATGATTTTGTTTTAGTCTAGAAAATTAGTTGAAGTAGAACCAGGAAGGGTGTACGAAGATAGAAGATAATCATATGGTGGTGATTAGTGATATGGCTCTCTTTAACCTGTTTGTTATTCTTATGAATGTGACCCTGATCCCAGGTGACCCTCTACCATCAAAGCAGGTGCCTGTGTTTGTTAGACAAATACAGCTAGACCTGCTGCATCTTTAGCTCCAAAGTCCAGAGGTGCAGAGAGCCAGGTCCAAGAGCCGTGTGGCTCACCAGGGATGGACAGATTGCCAACGATGTGGTAAGTGATCACGAGTCTACAGGGATGTGCATGGATTCCATTTTCTTTATATTCTTAAGAAAACAGCTCAGATCTGAAGCATGGGTCTTGGTTTTATTTATGCCTTTTTGCTTTATTTCAACCTGAGTTTCTTCTCCACGTGCTGTTGGCCTCCCTGTGACAAAGCTGGAACTCTGCACTAATCTGCTGTATCTGTGTCACCCACCTCTTCATATGTCCTTTTTTTCCCCAGGTGCATTGTCCTGTTTTCCCTTTTGGCATGGGTTTATGCTGAGCCTACCATGTATGGGGAGATTCTGTCCCCTAACTATCCTCAGGCATACCCCAATGACATAGAGAAATCTTGGGATATAGAAGTTCCTGAAGGGTATGGGATCCATCTCTACTTCACCCATCTGGACATAGAGCTGTCAGAGAACTGCGCATATGACTCAGTGAAGGTATATTACAATAAGCACATACAGAATAGGGCTGGGTGGTCAAATGAGAAGGATGTAGGAGGGAGTGTCACAGGCATACAGTGAACTAGAGTCAAATAGTCCTAAGGTCGTATGGGTCCTTTCTCTCACTTCTGTATCAAAACATAACCCTTTCCTAGACTCTTTCTGATGCTTCTCTTAGGTAATGTCAGGAGGCCTTGAAGAAGGGAAAATCTGTGGACAGAGGACCAGTAAGAATCCCAGTTCCCCAGTCGTGGAAGAGTTCCAAGTCCCTAACAATAAACTCCAGGTGATCTTTAAGTCAGACTTCTCCAATGAAGAGCGTTTCACTGGGTTTGCTGCATATTATGTTGCTGTAGGTAAGGCCCATCCTTCTCTATTGACTCATTGATCCAGCTAAGAGATTAGACGCAGGATAGACATTGAGCAATACTGTGAATACAGATTGTGTTTGTAACTCTTATGAAGTATTGACTTGACTTGGTGCCGTTATGAAATTCTCTATGAGGTGCCGTTATGAAATTCAAAGACATGATCGTATCTTAGTGGTGATGATAGAATGTTAAGAATAGATAATAAACAGCAATTTATTGAGATCAATTATGAAGTGGGCACTGTATTAGGAATTTTATGTGTATTAATTTAATCTTCACCTCAACTCTTCAAGGCAGGTATTATTATCTTCATTTTAAGATAAGGAAAGTGAAGACTAAGAAAGTTAAATAACTTACCAAACTCACACATGGAATGTATGGTATTACAACCCATTTAATATATGGCAAACAAACCAAATTCTGTGTGCTTCTACACCTAAAATAAAGTTAGAACATCTCATAAAGCCAAGCTATAGATTTGACAGTAGTGCCGACATCATACAATGTAATTAATCTACTAATTGTTCATCCCTGCAGAAGACATATCAACATGTTTAGCTTTCAGAGTATTTTCTTTGGAGCTGAAATGCTCTGTTTGTGAGAAAGGTCAAAGGTTTCTGGCAGTGAGAGCTCCCTTATAGCTGTGCAATAGTAAGATAAAACTATGGAATCACATTTTAGGAGAGCAATATAGAATATACCATCTTGAAAGGAAGGTCTTCAAGCAACAGGCCTTCTTGCTTTTTCTTGCCCTTGTAGTTTTGGGTTTAACTTCACTCTTCCTTCAAGGTCTTTGTCCTTGACCTCAGTCTTTCTCTGCTTTTGTAGATATAAATGAGTGCACAGACTTTGCAGATGTCCCTTGTAGCCACTTCTGCAACAACTTCCTTGGTGGTTACTTCTGCTCCTGCCCTCCAGAGTACTTTCTCCATGATGATATGAAAAACTGTGGAGGTGAGTTTGGCACTGAGGAGGCTGCGTGGCCCCTGGGATTTGGAATGATTTGAGACTTCAATAAAGGCTTTATCTACCCTTTTGATTTTGATTAGCCTCAGCCTTGATTTGGCACCTATTCTTGATTAGATTATGTGAGGCGGAGCCCACAAGAGTGGAGGAATACAAGGTTACAGAGTCAAGTTAATTAATTGCAGAGGAGAGATAGCTGGTGTGAAGAGTCTGCCTGGAACTGTCCATAACTGTGAAATGCTCTGTCATAAGCAATGTGATAGAAACCCAATAGGCATTGGGTAGCTCTGCCCAAGTGGGTGTGTAATGCTGTACATGGGCTCCAGTCGGGTACTCTCAGTTCATAAGAAGTCATAGAATAGGACAGAAACTTCTTTGCTTGAGCCTATGTCTGATTCCCCCTTTCTCTTTTTCTCCCTTAGTCAATTGCAGTGGGGATGTATTCACTGAACTGATTGGGGAGATCACAAGTCCCAATTATCCCAGTCAATACCCAGAGAACTCAAGGTGTGAATATCAGATCCTGTTGGAGGAGGGTTTCCAAGTGGTGGTGACTGTGCGGAGAGAAGATTTTGATGTGGAACCAGCTGATTCAGAGGGCAACTGCGTTGACAGTTTAGTTGTGCGTGATGGGTGATTAATTTTCTTCCTAACTCACACCGGGGGATTTCTCCTTGAAGACAAATTATCTTTCTTTTTGCCCTTTCTTTTCTCCCCTCTTTTGTTTTATTTTATATTACTTCTCTATTTATTTACTTCTCTTTTATTCTTTTCATTTTACCTCTTTTACATCCTTCTTTCTTCTGATTTCATCATTTTGTGTCCTTTCAGTTTGCTACAAGAGACCAGCAATTTGGTCCTTACTGTGGAAATGGATTCCCTGGTCCACTAAATATTGAAACCCACAGTAATGCTCTTGATATCATCTTCCAAACAGACCAAACAGGGCAAAAAAAGGGCTGGAAACTTCGTTATCATGGAGATCGTAAGTAATCTAAAAGTTGTTCTTTGGTTGGTTGTAACAAAGTCCCTGGACAAGGTGAAATCAAAACAGGTAGGTAGTTGTGTGGAGGGTTATTCTGATTACTCCCCTTCCTCAACAAGATTCAAACCTGTTAGTGGTTACTTGAAATGCTCCGACATCTAGGAATACTTCAACTGGACCTATGAGTGCAGACAACTTGGGGGGTGGTTAGTTAGTAATGCCATATTATTTTAGACATTCCCATATTGGAATGTTAGGAATCAGGACTGAGAATGACTGAATGATTTTATGAAGTGTAAGAATGGTGTAAATAGAACAGAGATTATCTGAATATCTGGTTAATTTTTTTTTCCTGTCCTTCCCAAGCAATCCCTTGTCCTAAAGAAATCACTGCCAATTCTGTTTGGGAGCCTGAGAAGGAAAAATATGTATACAAAGATGTGGTGAAGATAACCTGTCAGGAAGGGTTCGAAGTTGTGCAGGTAGAGTACTGTGAGGGGCTTCTCCTTAATCCCTACCTGAGGATGAGCATACTGGAATTGTCCTATTGTTTATGAATGCTCTTGTTGGAGCAAGGTGTAACACCTTCTTCATCAAAAGAACAGCTCAGGATCCTTAGTCCTTCCTTGTGGGTTGGGGAACTCCTTGGCCAGCCTGGCATTCTCTCTGTGCCCATAGTCTTCTTGTGGAAGGGAAGCTGATATGCTGTGGCAAACTTTTCTTTTAGCCCCAACTCTTGGCACTTTGGGTCATTCTGCTAAGACATTTCCAAGGTTTGTGTGGTGAGGATTCTTCCTTGACCCATGGCCAGCGATTTTTTAAAAATTTTAATTCATTTTCTATTTTAATTCTCCATATACCTCCTTATAAATTAATGGTGACATCTATCATTCTCCAGGGAAGTACTGGCTCAACATACTTCTATTCTACTTGTCAAAACAATGGAAAGTGGAGTAATTCCAGACTGGTTTGTGAACGTATGTATCTCTTTAAACTGAGACTTTTTTTTTCCTCTCAAAGGGAATTGAAAGATCAAAGTTCAAATGTATGATTTGCTTTTAGGCTTGTGAGAGTGGGTTGGGCTTTTGAAGGGAAGCCAGTCATGGAGTCCCAGCCCTGATCTGGTCCCAGACCAGCTTGGCAGGTTTCTTTCTTTCTTTCTTTTTTTTTTAAAAAAGAGGCTATGGGATTGGTAGAGTTAATGGCACCTTATAGGTCTATTCCTGGTTTCTCTAGGGGCTTCCCTCAACCACTGAGAGCCAAGTTCCTCCCTGTAGCTTGAAAGGGGCTATCTTAATTGGCAGGAGCCAGTGGGTTGGGGGAACTGAGTGATGCCAATTGAAGAGCATGGCTACAGAGAGGCTGGTGGGGAGAATCATTCCAGGTGTGCTTATGGAGGTGGTGGTGAGGAAGGAGTGAGGGACATGGCTGGGAGGATGGGACTGGCCTAATGACCAATGACTTCTTGAAGAGAAGTGGCTACCCTGACCATCGCTCTCTTGCCTTCCTCTTGTAGCTGTGGACTGTGGCTCTCCTAACCCCATTCAAAATGGTAAAGTCAAAGAACCAGAAGATACTTCATTTGGTGCTGTCGTTCACTACACTTGTAATGAGCCATATTATTACCTGCAAGATGAAGAAAGTGGTAGGTTTTTTTGACAAGAGAAAAAGAGAAAGGGTGAGAACATTGGAGGGTAAATAGCACAGTCTTTCTGGGTTGGAGAGAGTATGGAGAGAAATGAAGGAGATAAGATGGATTCTGTTCATCCTCTTGGTTTATTCTAAAGATAGAGTTTTTGTATGAGGTAGGGTAGATTCCATAGAATCATTCATAGTGAATCATAGTGAATCAATAGTAAATCATAGTGAATCAATCAATCCCATTTCATTGCTTTTAATTTCATTTTAGTTAATTAATTTTCTTTCTCCTCTTGAAGCACTTTCCCAATGTCTACCATTACCCTTTTCCATCTGCTTTGGAGACTGTTCCTTTCCCTTCCTAGGCAGGCGAGAGGCCAGAGAAATTGTTTGGAAGATGTTCTCCAGATTCTTTTCTCATTATTTGATCTAATATCCTCCTAAATCTCAGAGGAGCTGAGGCTCTGAATGAAAGGGGGAGGGGTATAGAAGATAGAAGATGTGGTGGTGAATGTGTCCTGTGTTCCTTGTGCAATTTCAGGGGAGTATCACTGTGCTGCAAACGGGAGCTGGGTTAATGAGTTCCTGGGCACAGAGCTGCCAAAATGTGTTCCAGGTAATGAGGGCTCAGCCTTGGGTAGAAACCGTAGTCATGGGTGCAAGTAAGTGGGGGCACCTTCTGAAAGTAGCTGTAATCCTCTTGGGAAAAGACTTAACAATCTGGGCCTACCAGAGTCTAGCTTATTGAGGCGGAGACAATAAAGTAAATGAGGGGTTGTAGACAGATCTGAGTTGAGTAGAAGAAGGCTCTTGGGCAAACCCAAGATAATAATGATACTGATAGCAACAACAGTGTGATTGAGAGCTGCGGACTGCACTAATTAATTACATTTATTATTTCATTCAAGCCCTTGCAATAATCCTATGAGGTGGGTATTATTAGTCCCATTTTACAGATGAGTGAATTAAGTGCAAACTCATAAAGTTAGTAAGGAGCAGGGGTAGGCTTTGAATCCAGGTCTGGGTCCAAAGCCTGTTATGCTCAACTCAGAGTCCATTATGGCTGACTAGTGAGGGATTTAAGTAAGCCAACTTTATCTGAAATAAAATTTATTTTTAATTATACTGGGTGATGGCAAAGTGATCAAGCCTAGAACCAGTTAATGAGGAATGAAATGAAAGACGAGAACCCTCTCTCTACCCTGCTTCCATGGATCACTAAGAGAGACTCAGTTGTAGTTAGGACTTCAGTAAAGAAGGTGATAAACATTTGGTTTGGGCATCAGATGAAGGTAGAACGCTTGCCTCCCTCACTATCTGTATGAGGAAGGAGATTCCCAGCCAGATAGGCCCTAGCTTCTGAGCCTGGGGTGAAGTCTACACGGCCGTAAGTCAATCTGTCCACAGTATGAGCTGTAGTAGTTTGCATACTGCCTCAGTTTAACCAGCCTGTCCCGCAGCCTGCTTGTGAAACTGGCAACAATGGAATGTTTGGTCCTTTAGGTATGTTCAGAATGAGTCAGGCACTCAGATGGCTGACCAAAGACAGGGTTGATTATATGGTGCTAGAGAACTCTGAAGCCTGGCAGGTTTTTGAGTGGTTGGAGGACTTGCAGGAGACTAGCAATTTATTTCCTGCTCCCTGCCCACCTTGTTCTTGTTCCTTTCTAGTCTGTGGCATCCCCAGTAAGGAGTTCATGGGAAAACAGAGGATATTTGGAGGAATGGAAGCACATATTGAAAGTTTCCCCTGGCAAGTCTACTTTTTAAGCCCACGGGCTGGTGGGGCCCTCATTGATGAGAACTGGGTGCTGACAGCTGCCCATGTTGTGGAGAAAGAGAGGAACCCATCAATGTATGTTGGGGCCACCTCAGTGGTCCGTGAATACCTGAAAAATGCCCAGGCACTCACTGCTGAGCGTGTGATTCTTCATCCAGGTTGGGAATTCCTGGAGAACCCAGACACACGAAAGAATTTTGACAATGACATTGCATTGATACGGCTTACAGAACCAGTGAAAATGGGACCCAAGGTCTCCCTTATCTGCCTGCCAGGCAACTCTTCAAAATATGACCCCCCAGATGGAGAGATGGGACTGATCTCAGGCTGGGGTAGAACAGAGAGAAGAGATCATGTTCTAAAGCTCAGAGGGGCAAAGATACCCATTGCTCCTTTACAAAAGTGCCAGGAGGTGAAGCCAAAAAATCGGAATATGGATACAAAGAACTATGTTTTCACTGATAACATGATCTGTGCTGGAGGAGAGAGAGGTGTTGATAGCTGTGAAGGGGACAGCGGTGGAGCCCTTGCTATAAAGATCCCTGATGAAGAGAAAGACAAATACTATGTAGGTGGTTTGGTGTCCTGGGGCCCAGAATGTGGGACCTATGGGATCTACACACGAGTGAAGAACTACATTGACTGGATAATGAAGACTATGCAGGAAAACAGTACCCCAAGTATGGACTAATCCACACGTATTCCACCAGCCTCTCCAAGGGCTAGGACCAATCTATTCCTTTCTGTTCCTCACAATATTCTCATTATTTCACCATGACTGAGAGAAGACATAGAAGTATGATTTAAATACAACTTGGGTGTTGGGGTACATGGCTGGAGGCAGTGTTTGATGATGACGTTGTGTCGGCCATTCAGTGTGGTCTAAATCGGTGCATAACAATATGGGAAGGGCACTGCTGTCTTGCACTATTCCACGGGGAGTCTCCTCTCCTGATGATTGCCTGGTGTTACAGATCTGACTCTGCAATTTATTGGGGGGGGGCACACCCTTGATTTTTTTGTTTATCCTGTATCTGTTCAATGTTCCACTAACTTTATCATTCTTAATGTCTACTATTACTTGTAATAAAGCAGGTTTATAACCCAGTGCCGGCTGACTTATCTTATTCCACATCAAGAACTCAGCATGATAGGCAGAGAGTGTGATGACAGGGCCGCTGTATCACGGAAATTCAGGTGTTTAGCAGCCAATATATAGAAATGATTTCTAGCAGCTAATATTTAATTGTCATGCAAATGGGGAATTCAGCTTTTCTCTTCTCTTCCAATTAAAATTTAGTAGATACTGTGGATTAGCATGAACATCACCAACACAAAATACCGTATTTTTTTCAAAACTCATTAAACATACTTGAACCTCATTGAGCAGTCCATATAACAACAGTTAGAATTGGTTATTTAAGTATAAAAATTTGAGGTAAAAGTTGTTTCAATATGACCCTGAAAATTAATTTTCCTTTAGTATTCATTTGTATAATACAATATTATGGCTTAATAAAAAAGAAAAAGAAGCCCTGGCTGGGTAGCACAATTGTTTAGAACATTGTTCCCATTACACAGAGGTTTTGAGTTTGATCCTCGGTCAGGGCATGTACAAGAATCAACCAGTGAATGGGTGGAACAACAAACCTATGTTTCTTTCTCTCTCTAAATAAATTAATAAATAAAAATTAAAGAAAAAAGAAGAAGAAAAGAAATTAATCATGCTCTTATCTACTTTCCTGGCAGTTTTGGTCAATTGGTCTGTCAAGCAACAGTGTCATCTTTGGACTGAACTGTGCACCAAGGAATTATAGAAAAGTCCCCATTAGGTTAAACCCAAAGACTCTCCCTTCTATTTTTCTTAAGGGAATGGAAAAAAATCCAACAAAACTCCTCCTGCCCCCAAAATGACTAGTGATGAAAAATAACCACACAACAGAGACTTGTTTTGGTTTAAAAAAATATTCTCCCCTGAGGACATTTTTCATTGGCTATAGAGAGAGGAATGGAGGGAGGAAGGGAGAGAAACATCCATGTGAGAGAGAAACATCAATTGGTTGCCTCCCATATGTGCCTGGACTGGAGATCATAGGCTCCTGAACCAGGGATGGAAACTGCAACATAGGCATGTGCCCTGACCAGGAATCAAACATGCAACCTTTCAGGTACAGGACTATGGTCCATCCAACTGAGCCACACCAGCCAGGTGAGACTAGTATTTTTTTAAACTGAGGAGAAGAGAGCTGTCCTAGGGTGGCAGTTGTCCTAACAGGGTGTCTTATGAAAGCTATAGACTAAGAGTAAGAATTCTCAGGGACTCTGCTCTGTCTGATGTGGCATATGGCTTTCAGGAGAGCAGTTTTTACCAGAAGCCAAAAGGGGTGTATTTGGTGCCTATCAAAAAAGGACTTTGATTTTCGATAGACCAAAAGGACTAAATTCAACAGTTGACCTTAGACTGGAGGTTTGCACATGATGAAGTAATTAGGACTCAAACCAAATGGTCTGAAGAACCAGGGGGAATTACAATAGGGAAACTTTGGAAAGATTGTGTCAAGTCAACCAAGCGTCATAAAGCCATTTACATTGTTTCTTAACTGTATAACTTGAATGCCCTTCCCCCACATGCCTGTCGTTACATGTGCAATGGAATTGACATTGTACCCTGGACTACAGTGTTTTGGGTGGGTGGAGGGTGATTCCTGTAGAGAAAAAAAAGAATTGGAAAAATGTTAAGCTTAAGAAACATGCTCACAATGTAGAAATTTTCCTTTTTTTTATAACTTGATAATAGCATCTGAAGAGTAACAGAACAAAGAAGTCCACTCCAGCCAGAGAGAATCTTCAGTCTGTTTGGGTTCTGCTCTTGACAAATTCCCTCATTACAGCTGCATTGTACAGTGGGATGGTTGTGGTTTTTGCATGGTTAACTCCACCCCAAGATCAGTTGCCTGGGTGAGTGGCAGGGAGGGGTTCTAAATGAATCATCCTCAAAGACTTCAGAACTGGGAAGGACTCATCACCAAGGCCTAGAAAATCATTAGCTGTGGCTTAAAGCGTATCAATTACACTGCTTTGCAAGTCATTTGGGACTTAACTTTTTAAAGCAGGTGAATCGTCATATTTCTTCGGTCAGAAGAAAATGGACTGGTGGATCAGCTCCTCATGCCAGGGAGAAAAGAAGTTCCCAGGGGCAAAGGGAACTTGACAGGAAGGAGCCCAATTAAAAGTGGACTAGTCCAGAAGGGGCTAGAGGAATTGTGGGACTCTCTAAGGTTGCTTTTTAAGTTAAGTTAAATTAAATTAAATTAAATTAAAATAAAATTATTTTTAGAGCGAGGGGAAAAGAGAGAGAAAGAGAGGGAGAGATCAATGTGTGAGAGAAGCATCCCACAACCCAGGCATGTACCCTGCTTGGGAATTGAACAGGAGACCTTTCTGTTTGCCGGCTGGCACTCAATTCACTGAGTCACACCAGCCAGGGCTAAAGTTGCTTTTTGTTATTATTCCTAGAATCAGAAATATATTCTGTGGAAACGTGACTTTATACTTACTGCATATCTGTTCTCTTTTAAAATTAAAAATATGAGAAAACTATTTTTCAGCTTTTCAACTATTTTACACATTTCAAGAAGTATAATGCCTTCTTTGACCCTTTTAAAAGATTTTGTTTATTTTTAGAGAGGGGAAGAGAGGGAGATAGAAAGGAAGAGAAACATCAGTGTGTGGTTGCCTCTTGCACGCACCCCACTAGGGACCTGGCTTGCAACCCAGGCCTGTGCCCTGACTGGAAATCTAACCAGCAACCCTTTGGTTCATAGGCCAGTACTCAAACCACTGAACCACACCAGCCAGGGCTATTTTTCAGCTTTACTGAGCTGTAATTGGCAAATAAAGTTGTAAGATATTTACAGTATACACTGTGATGATTTGATATACATATGCATTATGAAAGAATTCTTTTCACCAGATTAATTAACATACCTATCACCCAACATATTAACCCATAAAAATTCTTTTCTGGGGGGAGAACATTCAAGTTCTACTCTCTTAGCAAATTTTAATTATACAATATAGTATTATCACCTATAGTCACTATGCTGTGTATTATATCTCCAGAACTTATTTATCATATAATGAAAAGTTGTTATCCTTTTACCAATCTCTCCCTGCTTCTCCTCCTCCCCACCCCTGCAACCACTTTCCTAGTTTCTGTTTTTATGAGTTTGGCTTTTTTTGAAAAAAAAAATTCCAAATGTATGTGATATTGTGCAGTATTTGCCTTTCTCTGACTAGCTTATTTCACTTAGCACAATGCCTTCCAGATTCATCCATGTTGTCACAAATGACAAGATTTCCTCCTTTTCTAAAGGCTGAACAATATTCCATATTGTGTGTGTGTGTATGATACTTTCTTTTTGAAAAAAAACTTTTAAAGATTTTATTTTTATTTTAATTAATTAATTAGTTAATTAATTAATTTTGTAAAGAAATGCTTTGTGAATAGTCAGAGGTCATTGTGGTTCTGGTGGCTTTATTGTTTTTCCAATCACTTCAGGTCTGTCAAAGTGTTTTGTTTTGTTTTGTTTTTAAAGATTTTATTTATTTATTTTTAGAGAGAGGGGAAAGGAGGGAGAAAGAGAGGGAGAGAAACATCAATGTGTGGTTGCGTCTTACATATTTCCTACTGGGGACCTGGCCTGCAACCCAGGCATGTGCCCTGACTGGGAATTGAACCAGCAATCCTTTGGTTCGCAGGCTGGCACTCAATCCACTGTGCCACACCAGCCAGGGCTATTTATTTATTTTTAAAGAGAGGGAAAGGGAAGGAGAAAGAGAGGGAGAGAAACATTAGTGTGCGAGAGGTACATTGGTTGGTTGCCTCTTGCATGCCAGCAAGTGGGACCTGGCCCACATCCCAGGCATATTTCCTGCCTGGGAATCGAACTGGTGGCCTTTTGACTTGCAGGTCAGCATTCAATCCACTGAGCCACACCAGCCAGGGTGATATGATACTTTCTTGATCCACTCGTCTGGAGATGGACACTTAGGTTGCATCCCTACCTTGGCTGTGGTGACTAATGCTGCAATGAACATGGGAGTTCACATAGCTCTTTGAGGTAGTGGTTTCCTTGCCTTTGGCTATATACCCAGAAGTGGGATATATAGTGGATCACAGAGTAAGTTCTAGTTTTAGTTTTCTGAGAAACCTCCATAATATTTTCCATAGTGGCTATACCAGTTCATGTTGCCAATAACAGTGTACAAGAGTTCCTTTTTCTCCACATCCTTGTCAGCATTTGTTATCATTTGTCTTTTTGATAATAGCCATTCTAACAGAGGTGAGGTAATATATCATTGGGTTTGAATTGTCATCTTCTTGATGATTAGTGATGCTGAGCACGTTTTTGTATACCTGTTGGCAATTTGTGTGTCTTCTTTTGAAAAAAAATGTCTGTTTAGGTTCTTTGTCCATTTTCAAATTGGGTTATTTCTTTTTTTCTATTGAGTTGTATGAGTTCCTCATATATTTTGGATATTAACTGCTTATCAGATATGTGGTTTGTAAACATTTTCTCTCATTTGGTATGCTGCCTTTTTATTTTGTTGATGGTTTCCTTTGCTGAGCAGAAGCTTTTTAGTTTGCTGTAGTCCCACATGTTTATTTTTGCTTTTGTTGCTTTTTGCTTTTGGCGTCAAATTAAAAGAAATACTGCCAAGACCAATGTAAGGAGCTTACGGCCTGTTTTCTTCTAGAAGTTTTATGGTTTCAGGTCTTATATTCAAGTCTTTAAGATTAAATACTTTTTTAAAGTTGATGTTTGTGTGTGGCCTAAGATAGGGTTTAGTTTAATTCTTTTGTATGCTGTAATCCAGTTTTTCCAACATCTTTCCCCATTGAAGAGGTTATCCTTTCCCCATTGTGTATTTTTGGCTCCTTTCCTGAAAATTAATTGACTGTAGAGGTGCAGGTTTATTTTTGGTCTCTCTGTTGTGTTTCATTGGTTTACATGTCTGTTTTTATGCAAATACCATATTGTTTTGATTACTATAGCTTTGTAATATAGTTTGAAATCAGGAAGTGTAATGCCTTCAGCTTTGTTCTTTTTCAAAATTGCTTGGTCT